ATTAGCACGATTAAATGTTCTTGGATTCTCATTCTTCTCAGAGTCAGCCACAGTTTGTTATGATCCACGCAGTCAAATGCCTTTGTATAATCAATGAAACATAGACATTCTTCTGGTATTCTCTGCTTTCAGCTAAGATCCATTTAACATCAGCTACAATATCCCTAGTACCACGACCCCTTCTAAACCCAGCCTGGAAACCCTATGAATAACAGATCCAAACCCTGCCCTGTCCTGCATTATCCCTACGATCTTTGCCCTGCCTCCACCCCTTATTGCAGTCATGTGTTGGTCCATATCATTGAGAGCCTTCATCTTTTTTTCTGACCCTCTGCTTTTCTAAACATGACTTCTTTCTTCACAGACCGGCACCTCCTGACAGCATGCTCAAAGTCTTTTCTTTTTGGAGTTATACATTTCTTTTTATGTCTGTGGTCAAGAGTCTTGTTGTAAGCAGAGCACAGTTTTCAGGCTGTATGACGTACTCCTTCCTTCTTGGAGTAAACAGTGAAATTAAGGACAAAATGCTCACACACTCCTGAATTCCATTTAGACAAATACAAGAACTAATATCACTGTAAAGACAGGTCATAAAGGTGGAGTCATTAAGGGGTTGTCCTGAGCCGGACGATGATAACCAGTCTAGAGTGCGCCAGCGGAGGCCAGCCTCAGGCTTTATGATGCTTGAAGCTCTATTAGCAGATAGATAGATGATGCCCTTTGATCTTACAAGAAGTTCACTTTGTGGCAGTGCCCATATGTGTGAACGCAAATGTCACCTTTTATAGGTGAACGTAATCTACAAGTGGTGATATATTTTGAAACTATCTCTTTTGAAAAAAATTAAAAAGAGGAAACAATTTTTACTACAGAACTGAGAATACGGTTCACGATACATTCTTTATTCTGCCACATTGCCAACAATTCATGATACCTCTGAAGAAAAAAAAAGTCCTCATTGAAATGAATGGGATGTGAAAAATCCAACTCTGGTTTAAGGACACTTTTTGGGGGTGGGGTGGGGGGTGGAACCGTGGCATCCACAGGAGGCTCAGTAACCGTGGGTCCAGCCTATGGCCTGCAGCCAAGCAGGAGCCTCAGTGCTGTCCAGCCCCTTCCCAGACTTCATCAGTCTTGACTGTGACTTCTTGGCATGTGGACATTGAGCACATTCTTGATCTTTGTGGTTTTGGCCTCCTGGCTCCTCTGACTGTACTTCTTTATGCACCCTCACTGATTCTTCTGCCCCAGCCACTCCCCTATCATTTGATGCCTCTCCTCCTTGGCTTCTAATCCCCTCCTAACCTCCTTAAGTGGGCTCCACATTATGGCTCCATCTGTCTTCTGAACACTGATGACACCACAGCTGCACTCCCCCACTTTCAAACCCACGTTTCCATCCGCTAACTAGAAATCTTTGCCAAGATATGCTGCAGATTCCTTAACTCCAAAACCAGGCTGGTTTTGTTTTGTTTTTTAAAGTCTGGGGTTTTATTTTATACTTATTTATCTTTGTTGGGTTATTTTACCTAGCCTTATACACTACCAGTGTCTGTATTTTCTTTAATTTTTCTTTCCTGGTCATTTAGATCTAGTCCCCAGGACCTATCAGTTCTACTCATTAGTGTTGGAATTTGTCCTTTTAGTTGTTTCACTTCACATCTTTCTTCTGCAATTGATCTACTTAGATTCGTCTTTTACTTGGCCTTTTCTCCTGCTTCCTTTCCCTTATTCCTGCCTTCCCACTCCAGTACTTTTGTTTTAACTCTGTAGAAAACCAAATATGATCATGTTAGTTGCCCACCTTTAATCCAATTCCTTTAACCACTGTCTCTCCTATAATTATTCTTCACCTAACAAATTTCTTTTTAATTTTAACCTCTGCCACTTGCACCTTGCTCTAATCCCTGGGACGACATGGCATGTCAAAGAGAGATTTTACCTTCATGACTTTGTGATTTACCTAGAATACTGTTTGACCTCCCTGTCTCTTGACAAATTTCTAGTTCTCCTTCGAGACTCATTTTCTAAAATCTCATTTTCTCTAAAATCTTTTAAAAGAAATCTGTCCCTTGCACTTACAATGCATTAAGTGACATTTTCTGTAGACTTGTCACATCGTTTTTCCACTATAGCCCCTACTACATTGCATTTAGAAGTGTCTGGGTATAGCCAAGGGCCCCTAGTGCCTGGAGTGATAGCCAGAAGTTTGGAGTCTCAAATCCACCAGTCACTGTGTGGAAGAAAGATGGACACTCTTGTCTCATAGATTTACAGCCTTGGAGATCTGATAGAGCACACCTGTGAGTTGGAATTACCTTGGCAGCAGAGAGTTTGACTTTTCATTTGCATATAGGCCAACTCTAGATGGTGAACTCAAAGGCTGGAAATCGGCTTACTTTTTTCCTGGATCCAAAGAACTCAACATAGTTACCAAACGCTCTGGTGATTGTTAAGTGCCATCAAGTTTGCTCCTCTGCGTAGTCACCAGTCTTACACCATCCTCATCATTTCCACAACGTTTGAGCCATTGTTGTGCCGCATCGTGAATCCATTCTGACACGTGTGATGTACAGCTGTTAGCACATGCATTGTTTATAGGAGCCTCAACAGGACTCTAAGATCTGGCTAATTATTATCAGGGTACCTCACTGGAAAGGGACACCATGTTTGGAAAGGTAGAGGGCCAGCAAAAGAGCATAAGACCCTCAACATGGAAACAGCCCACATGTTCAACCACAACTGAATAGATTGAGAAATTGTGGTTACAGTCACACAGTGGAATCCTATGCTGCACTCAGGAGCAACGATTTTGAAAAGTACTGTGTAACTTGGGAGAGACTGGAGAGCATTATGCTGAGTGAGCTAACTCGTTCTCATAAGGGCAAATACTGCATAAGACCATTATTGTATAAAAGGATAACCAGTAAGAAATGTATGGGAACCCAAGAAGGGAACGTGAGAGCAGAGGGGTGAGAATGGGTAGGAGCAAAACCACAGGGTTGCACAGTTTAGTGGGTGGAGGATGGGGAGAAGCAAATGGGAAGGATCTGGGCAAAAAGGGTAATAATAATGGACCAGGTCCAGTGGTGATTAATTTTTTAAAACATAATGCATGAGAATTATTTTGATCACCAAGGGTCATAATGAGTCGTCTATGACTCGACGGGCACTTAACAACAACAATACCACCAACATAGAGAGAGCTCTGTGGGCCTCGTGGATAAAAAGTTAAGCTACCAAGCCAAAGGTAGGTGATTTTAATCTGCGGCCCTTAGGCCTGGTTTTAATTGTGTTTGGTCAAACATTCTTCTAAGCAGTATAGCATTGGTCTGTACATTTGCTATACAGAGGTAACTCATGGTTGCTGTAATGCTAAGCACTGACATTGATGTGTCACAAGAGATAATGGTTACTCATGGTGGACAGTGTTTAGTGGAGCTCCCCAGTTAAAACAAGCTTGGAAGCAGGAGTGGCATCCACTTCCGGAATAGCTTGCCTCCAGAAATTCTATGATTATGGAGAAACGATGAAAGTTCTACAAGCGTTCAGGTCTTTCGTTCATAGGGTCATTATGAGCCATCTGTGACGCAATGGCAATTAACAATAGCAATGCATGAGAATGTGTGAAGCACACTATAATTGAAGAATAGTGTGAAACACAATACAGACGAACTTTGTATGAAAGCCAATTTTAAAAAAAGCAACATAAAAAAGTGCAACAATGAATGAATGAAAATCCAAAATCTCTGTAAATGTTCATTAAAATGAATATAAAAAAATACAAACCACCAAGATGGATTGACATACTGACTGCAGCAGTGGGCTCAAATGTGTCAGAGATGGTTGGGATGGAACAGGTAAGACAGAGTGTAGATAGATTTGTTGTTCACTAGGTCACGATGAGTTGTACTTGACAGCACATAACAACTGTGGTTGATGTAGCTTGTCAGTGAGACTGAAAACTTTGTGTCTTTCTCTTGGTGACCAGTGAGAGGCGCTGATGAGCTCAACCCTGTCAGCATTCCATGACTTTTAGCAGCAACTCATCATGAGTCCACAGTTGTGCTCTCTGCTGTGTCTTCTGCGTTGTGTTATGCCCAGTAAGATCAGTTTTATGATAACTGCTTCAGAAACACAACTAGATTCATGCAGTTAGAGTTACAACTGAAAGGCTCCTCGTAGTTCTTGATATAATGGAATACAGAAAGAAAAAAGTTCTAATCATACATCTGTCAGTTCCCGCTTATTAAGAAGCTTCCTTTGGTACGTTTGTTTACCGTTAGATACATATCCATTAGATCACTATAGGACCCATTTCACAGATAATGGATTAAAAACAGTAGGTAATGAAATCTTTCCAAGTGGCTTTTAGGAATGAGTAGGAAGAGCTGTAGAAAGAATACTGTGTGTGGATTCTAGCTGTAATCCTTTAGCTTAGAGTAGTTCTTTGCCATGTGCCAAAATAGCTTTTATGGTAAGAGGGGAGCCATCAAATTGAGGACAGGATCTGGTAACAGAGATGATGTTTGAGATGGAGAAGGGTTGCATTGCCACCTAGAGTAGCAAAGAATGAGTGCCATCGAGCTGTCCAGTGTGAATGTCAAATATCCTCCCTTAACACTTGTTCTTTCTTTCAGTTTGAAAAAGAACTTCAGAGAATTTCAGAAGCCTATGAGAGTCTGGTCAAATCTACCACGAAGCGAGAGTCCCTGGACAAGGCAATGAGAAACAAACTGGAAGGCGAGATTCGGAGACTTCATGACTTCAACAGAGACCTCCGAGGCACGTCAGATTGATGGCATGTCCTCTCCCCCCGCGCTGCCAGCAGCTGTGGCTAGCTGCCTGTTTTCGGGTTCAGGTCACCCCACTTCCAGTGCTAGTCAAGATTAGATAATCTTGTTATTTTCATCCAGGGGAACGGCGGGAGAGGTCCTCCTCAAAGGGTAGAATTGTTATTTTCTGTCTTTAGTTTGCAAGTGGCAGGGTCAGAAGTGAACCCTGTATGCATGAGTCTGAACAGGGAAGAGCATGCACGCAGCTCGTTCTTGCTTTTGGAGTACTTAACAGTGGCTCGTACCAGGTGAATGGGAATATTTGAAAAGACCAGTAGTAGAGAATAATACTTTGTATATCAGGCAAGTCATTTGGTAGCATTCTTGAAGTACAATGCTTAATTCTTACTAAATACAGCAAGGAAGACAGAGTTAAACATATTCCTCCTTCAGAAAGAAAACAAAGTGCTCATGGTTCTGAAAAGAGCAGGGAGAGGCCATCTGCTGCGCATCTTGGCAAACTCCATAGTGAAGGATGACCCAGTCCAGTAAATTTCATTTCTCTTGCAGTGATCACACCATGTGCCTCATATGTCACCCCCATCATGGGACAAGTGTGTCAAAGAATGTAAGATTAGCTCAGGACAGGGCAGGGTTCAGAACTATTCATAGGGTCACTGTGAGTCGTTGTCAACTTGACAACAAATAACAACAACACATGTCATCAGAACATGCAGTGCCTTTTCTATTATTACTAACTCTCTTTAGAGAGTTAATTGCTATGTCAGTGGAGGCTTTTTCCTTTGCTTCTAAGAGTGCAGATAGCAGTCAGTGGGCACAATAATAGAGAGCTGAGAGTCAAGGCTACACTGTGCAAGCTAGGTTTGGGGCCAGAAAGTCAAAACCTCTTTGAGAAGCCTTATTTTATTTTTTTTTAAAAAAAACCCTTCTTTTAATTGAGTGAAAGTTTACAATTCACGCAGGATATTTTTCTTTTTTCATTCATTGTTTCACATTTCCCTCTTCCCCTCCCTTTACCCAGCGCACCCCACAATGCACCCCTTGTTCCAGATTGTTCTCATACTGCATAATCATATATTCCTTTTGGACAGTTCTTCCCCTCATCTATTCTAATGCAGTGTTCATTATCTATCCACTCTTTCCCCATTCCCCCTCCAGCATTCCCCATGTCTGTTCTATTTTATATCAGTGGTGTTATGAAGTATTTATCCTTTTGTGACTGAGATATTTCACTAAGCATAATATTCTCTAGGCTCCCCTATGTGGTGTAATGTTTTACTATTTCATTGTTTTCGATGCTGCGTAACATTCTGTTGTGTGACTGTACCATGGTTTTTCTATCCATTCATTTGTTGGTGAGCACTTGAGTTGCTTCTCTCTCTTTGCTATTGTGAATAGTGCAGCAATAAGCATAGATGTGCACACATCTATTTGACTCGTGGCTCTAGTTTCTTTAGGGTATATTCCCAGTAGTGGAATTATTGGATCAAATGGTATTTTTAATTCTTTTGAGAAAGCACCTGACCACCTTCCATAGTGGTTATACCATTTTACATTCCCACCAGCAGTTAATAAGAGTTCCAGTCCCTTCACAACCTCACCAGCATTTGTTGTTTGCTGCCCTGTTGAACTTTGCTATTTTTCCTGGAGTTTGGAAATTTTTTTTTTAAAGATTTTAAGTCAGAGATTTTCCTGGCCTTGCAAATAGTGAAGTGGTTTTTCTCAAAGTGTACCCTTGGCTGCCCCTGACAGGAGAGCAACAGTAAGGACACCAGTGTGGCTTCTAAAGATGAACCTCTGTATCTGTGCCTGCAGGTGGTGTTCCTGGCCCACTGCTGCTCAGTGTTTTATTCCTACCTAAGCTTCTCTGAGCACCTCTTCAGAGCCAGCTCATGGCACCCCTTTTCTTTCTTTTATTAGATGATGGCTTGAAACCTGTATGTGGTTATTTTTAACCATTTTGTCTTACCTGCAGATCGACTGGAGACCGCCAACAGGCAGCTGTCCAGCCGGGAGTATGATGGGCATGAAGACAAAGCCGCCGAGGGGCTGTATGCTTCCCAGAGTGAGTGTCCAGGACATATTTATTTATTCTAAATGGGTATTTAAAACAATCAGGGGACTGGAGGGAGGGAAATCACATTCATTTAAAGGTGAATTTGTGCTCTGCGTTCTGTTAATTTTGATGTTCGATCTGCCCTGGTACCAATGTGTAGTCTAACTGATCACTTGTGTTCAGCGCTGATGCCCTCCAAGGGCATAGCAACCTTGTAGTCCTTCCTGGAATGCAGTTCTCTAATGTTTTACTAGTAGAAAGGGATGGAGGACTCGATTCTCTTGGCGTGTTCTGTGTGTCTCACCTTGTGCGCCCTCTAAATGATCACATTGTACACCTGCTAGCATGATGTCAGCAGTACATGATCTCAACCCCCAAAATCACCGAAGCCATTGATGCGAATGATAATGAATTTTGAGGAGAATAATAGTTCCTTAATTTCTTCAGAGACAAGTGATAGAACCAAATGTTAGAAGAAACCACTGGTCACAATTTGTATGTTGTTCAGATTCATTGTACGTGCCAGAAATTTTAAAATCCAACTGTCATCTTCTAAAGCTGATTACAAAATTGGATGAAATTCTAAGGCATAGATGCCAGCAGCCTTATGAGTCAATGCTCACAAGCTAGTAAGAAAAGCTATGTGCTCTGGTATTAGCCATCTCTCCGTGTACAGCCCAACATCTGAAAGGTTAGAGACTAATACCTAATAGTGAACACTAGTTTTATTTTTTGCCTCTTTTCATAAAAGTGGAAATCTACATCTAATTTGTTTCAGTTAGCAAGAACATGAACTTATGTAGCTTGTTTAAAAGAATGGTATGCAGCACTGCAATCCCAAAAGTGCATGGTTCAAATCCACCATATGCTCCTGTGCCAGCTGGATCTGACTTGAGGGCACACACACACACCAAAAAAAAAGAGAGAGAGAGAAGAAAGAGTGGTACACAGCAGACTTTCCTAAATCCAGGGTTACCTGACTTAGAAGGCCAGACATATCATGCCTGGGCCTCCCTCCCAGTCTTCTCTGTAGTGTGTAACTGTGGTGATGAATTACTGCCGCTTTTCATAGTTACTAGAGTGTACCGTTATCTTTGTACTTTTTTTAAAAAAACAACAACTCTATTATTGGAATGAATATCAAACCTGGTAATCAAAATTACAAATGTTGCTCACTCAAAAGAAGATTACAACCACTCCCCCCCAAAAAGGAGGTTATCCTTTTCAAAATGAGTCTTTTGGGATTTCCCTTTGGCTAGAGCTTTGATGACTTACTGTAGGTAAAAGAGTTGGGCAGTCAACCCAAAGGCACGTAGTTCAAATCCACCAGCTGCTCCAGGGAGAAGGATCTCCTCCCGTGTGATTGACTACCTCAGAAACCTCGCTGGAGGGTCAGCTATGAGTCATTCCTCACTTGATGGTACATAACAACGGCATGTGGTTGAGAAAAAAACAAGACAGCATAGCAAATAGCAGTGATTTCTTTGGATAGTACATGCCAGGAAATTGATGCCTTTGAGTTGTGGTGCTGAGGAAGAATACTGAATGTCCCATTCACAGCTAGGAGAACAAACAGGACTGTCCTGGAGAAAGTGAAACCAGCATGCTCCTTAGAGGCTAGGATGGCGCAACTTCATCTCATAGACTTTGAGCATGTTGTAAGGAGGGGCCAGGTCTTGGTGAAGGACATCATGCTTGGAAAGATGAGAGGTCAGTGTAAAAGAAAGAGATGCATTGACACAGTGACTGCAGCAGTAGGCGCAAGTGTGTCAGAGATGGTGAGGATGGCGAGGTTCAGATCCGTTGTTCGTAGAGTCAGTACGAATCATAATCTCCTCAATTCACATAACAAGGCTAAGTTGTGAAGACCCTGACGGCCACCTCGACCAATGAGGAAAAAGTAGGGTTGATTTTTTTTTAAGGAATGCTGATTCAAGAACACACAAGCAACTATTTCAGTGAGAGTAGGTGGAACCTGAAAATTCTTAGATAATGCAAGGAGGAGTTCCTTCCTGTCTAGTTTTTAGATTTCCCTGCTGCTTAGTGTTAAAGAATGAACTCTCTGTTCTTTAGTTTGAGCTTGAGGAAGGCCTGGGTAGTTACTATTCTGTTCTATTCTGTCACTCTTTGTTTTTATTTAAAAAAAAAAAAAACACAAAACCACAAAACACCAAACCACCATGTGGAATTAAGTGCTTAGGAATTTCAGGATTAGGTTGGAGGTTTTTTACTTATCGCCACATGGTATTATAACCTTCTCTTTAGAGGAATTCAGAATTGTTTGTTTTTCATTTTGCACATTTTTTCCCCACATGTATTACTCTTGAAGATAGCCTTTTGCCTACTCCTGGTTGGTCTGACTCTAAAACTGGGGCTTCTTTATCCTTTCATTTAAGCGGCTCTCATTTTCCTCTTTCATTTATTTGTGGACATCAGCACCCACATAAGCAGAAGGTCACAGTCAAATAATACTGTGCTCCTGGAAAAATCTTTTATCATTCTCTCAGGAAGTGAAACTTTCTTTCCAAAACCTGATAGCTCTGCAGAATTCCCAGCAGCTTTGGGCCAGAAAGCCAAAAATAAAATATGAGATATAGAAAGCTAGATCGGTAGATATTAAATACCATTTTACAGGAGTTTTTAAGTAGATGTGCCAGGGCCTTGGGTCAAGTAGAGACATAATTCTCTCAGACATGCTCATATTAGCCCAGGATAAAACCTAGTCATATTTAAAGGATACACAGGGCTAATCACCATCCCTCTGGGATTTCTAGGTACTTAAGGCTATTTAAGGTAGATTCTGGCTTTTAATGGTTGTCCCTGTCGAAGGACAAGATGATTTCTTAGGCATTCAGTGATTCATGTGAAACAACATGTTGTTGACTAATTGTTGTAAATGAATCAGAACAAATGGAATGGATTCCTATAAAATTCTCATGAGCTTAGAAA